TACTGTGGTGGGTATTTCTGTATTTTCTATAACGGTCAAGGTAAATCCCATCAATATATTATCTATTAAACATCTGAACGAGAGAGGGGAACTTTTTGGTTTTTGGTACTCCAAACATGTTTACAAATGTTTGTTCAGAGAGTACAGGCTTCCACAATATGTGAAATTAGGCTGTGATTCACTGAGCTCTGGGAACAGAACAAATTGTTGACACATTAAAAATAACTAGACAATCAGCAAACAATTCAGTGATGACTAGAGATACCCTCTACTTGAATGAAACTTTTCTATGAATATAGCAAATTGAAACCATGAATTAAATTAGTAACAGAAAGCCAATTTATATCAGACTAAAGAAGATATTAAGTCTAAAAGTAGATATTATCTGTGAAGGTAGTGATAACCAAGTTAAAATCCATAGAAACACAGAAGACAAGTATAGAGTAAAGGACTAGAGGAAACAGATAGATCTTATTATGAAAGGCAAATAGAATAGATAGGTATAGATAGATGGGGGCAGCCGGAATAGGAGTATATATTAGAGAGGGAGGGTATTGGCTTATGAGAGGGAATACAGGGGAGACAGGTAAAATTAAGGGCACTTAAGGGATAGAATGGAAACCTAAAACAGTATAAACTTCCTTAAATATATACATTTATGAAGGTGATCTAAATGAAATACTCAAATCATGGTAGAGACTGAGTCTGAAGTAGATGTCTCTTGTCACCAAACAAAGCTCCCAGTGCCAATTGAGATGTTGGCCAAGGGAGCCCAACAGGAACCTACAAACAACTCAGGCTACTGCCAAGACTATAGTTTGCCCTCCACAAACCCACACCAAAGTGTTGCTGAAGACAAGATATACACAGTTCATTAAAAATGGAGATTTTTGAGTCAGTGCCTACAAAGAGCTTCACCCATATGTTTCAGCATTTTTAGTACAGGAACACAGTCTACATATGTTCAGAAGAAAAACATAAACTCGAAGCCATCCACAAACCATTTGTCTATAATGGTGTACTGCCAAGATATGCTAGGGCAATGATGGCAAAAACTTATGAGAGTCACCAGTAACTGATTTAACCTAAGACCCACTCCATGAAATGGAATGAATACCCAACACTTCTTGGGTGGCCAGGAACCTGAGACTAGATTGTCCAGGGACCTAGGATAAAATCAAGTAATACAAGTCTAAAATAAAGTAATTATGCAATAAAATGATGCCTAAAGATATCCTGTTAAACTCCTAATTCAGTGTCTTGCTCAGCTATCATCAGAGAAGCACCTTCCTGCAGCAGATGTGAACAAATATAGAGACCCATAGCCAGACATTATTCACAGAGTGTGAGCTTTTGAACTCTCAGCACTAAATGGTATATCTTCATCAAATCTCTTCCTTCAGACCTCAAGGAACTCCCCCAAAAGATTACGTGGTAATAGTTTAAGAGACAGGGGAAAAAGGACACCAGGAGAACAAGATCCTCTAAATCCACTTAGCAAGGGTCATATGAACTTACAGAGTCTGAAGAGCAAGCAGAAAGCCTGCCTATGTCTACACCAGGTACTCTGCATTTATATATAGCTTCCAGATTAGTCATTTTTTTTTGAGACAGAGTTTCTCTGTGGTTTCTCTGTGTAGCTTTGCTCCTTTACTGGGACTCACTCTGTAGCCCAGGTTGGCCTCGAACTCACAGATATCTGCCTGCCTCTGCCTCCCAAGTGCTGGGATTAAAGGTGTGTGCCACCACCACCTGGCCAGATTAGTGTTTTTATGGGACTCCTGTATGTGAGAAAGAGTGGGTCCCTGATCCTTATGCTTTCTGCTATGCCGCTTTCTTTCTGTTTACTTGTCTTATTCAACTTCAATCTGATAGTTTTGTTTTATCTTATGATATTTTATTTTGTTATATTTAAAAAAATGAATGAATGAGTGAATAAAGACCTAGCTACTATGTTAAAGGTTAACAACTGAACTGTCACTTATACATGTTGTGAGACTGAAAATCACTTTTAACCAATAAAGTGAAAATGGGTTTATCAACCACTCCTGGACAGGCCTCATGTTCAGAAGTAGTTGACCAATATATAACTGAACTCCATAATTTTTGATGTGGTTTTTGTTCATTTTTTGTTTGTTTATATATTTTTCTTTTTTATTTTATTTATTTATTTATTTTGATTTGGGGATTTTGCTGTTATGTTGGGTGTTTATTTGTTTCTTGAGAAAGAACTCTAGCTGGGCATGGTGGCACATGACTTTTTTATTTTTTCTTTATTAAGAAATTTTCTACTCACTCCTCATTCTATCCACAGACCTCCCTCCCTCTTCCCACACCTTAGGCCTCTTTCCAAAGCCACCTTGCATCCCTACATCCCCCAAATTGAGGTGTCCCATGGGGAGTCAACAGAGCCAGGACACTGAGCCTAGGCAGGTCCAAGCCCTTTCCCACTGCACCAAGGCTGTGCAAGGTGTCACACCATAGGCACCAGATTCCCATGCACCAGGGACAGATCCCGATCCCTCTGCCTGGGTGCCCCCCAAACAGTTCGAGCCAAACAACCGTCTTCTGTGTACAGAGGGCCTAGTCCAGTCCCATGGGGGTTCCACAACCACCAGTCCACAGTTCATGGGTTTCCACTACATTGAAGTTCTCCTGAAACTGTCCACTAGCCTACATACACACACACACACACACACACACACACACACACACACGCACGCACGCACGCACGCACGCACGCACGCACGCATGCACGCGCACACACACACACACACACAGCCAACTATGAAAATAAAATGTTATGGATACTTGTGTTAAACCTTGGATATGTAATCAACCAGTAACATGAATGTGTACTTAGAATTGAGTTCTAATCTACTCTCTTTTCCTAGTAAGTCTATTGAAAAAAAATACATATAGAACACAAATTTGGATGTTTATTAGTTTTAACAAACAAAATAACATTTCAGTATAGTCAACCAGAATGACCATAACTTATATTCTGAGCAACAATCCATAAATAATGTGCATTCTGCTGAGATAATTTTCTGTTACATCCATAATTTTTGTTATCTGACAACTGAAACTATACAAAAATGTTATTTTTGAAACAGCAAGTTCATAGAAATTTCTTGCATTCAAGTTTAAAAAACATTTATCTTACACAGTGTATAAAAATCAGTTCAAATAGATTATTGTTTATTAGATCTGAAATTGTAAAAATCTAGAAGAAAGAATAAAGAAAAAGTTTATGACTTTGTCTTGGCAAAGATTTTTTTATATGACACTAAAAAATACACAAGCAACAGATGCAAAAAGGAGAACTGCCAAAAACTAGAAATTCTCTACAAAACACAGGAAATAGCAAACTAAAGAGCCAACATATGTAATGAGATTAAATATCTACAAACCATCTTT